AGGAGGGACGTCATTGTCCCGTAGAATCACTGGGGATATTAGGAAAACAACAAGGAGTCTGGTGGCACCTTAAAGACTAACAGATTTATTTGGGCATAAGCTTTCGTGAGTAAAAACCTCACTTCTTCGGATGCATAGAGTGAAAGTTACAGATGCAGGCATTATATACTGACACATGGAGAGCATGCATGCACTGCGACAGGCTGGGGACTGACTGGCTAAGCAGCAGCAATTCTGCAGAAAAGGACCTAGGGGTTACAGTGGACGAGAAGCTGGATATGAGTCAGCAGTGTGCCCCTTGTTGCCAAGAAGGCCAATGGCATATTGGGCTGCATTAATAGGAGCATTGCCAGCAGATTGAGGGAAGTGATTATTCCCCTCTATTCGGCACTGGTGAGGCCACACCTGGAGTATTGCTTCTAGTTTTGGTCCCCACACTACAAGAAGGATGTGGACAAATTGGAGAGAGTCCAGCGGATGGCAATAAAAATGATTAGGGGGCTGGGGCACATGACTTATGAGGAGAGGCTGAGGGAACTGGGATTGTTTAGTCTCCAGAAGAGAAGAATGAGGGGGGATTTGATAGTTGCTTTCAACGACCTAAAGGGGGGTTCCAAAGAGGATGGAGCTCTGCTGTTCTCAGTGGTGGCAGATGACAGAACAAGGAGCAATTGTCTCAAGTTGCAGTGGGGGAGGTTTAGGTTGGATATTAGGAAACACTATTTCACTAGGAGGGTGGTGAAGCACTGGAATGGGTTACCTAGGGAGGTGGTGGAATCTCCATCCTTAGAGGTTTTTAAGGTCAGGCTTGACAAAGCCCTGGCTGGGATGATTTAGTTGGTGTTGGTCCTGCTTTGAGCAGGGGGTTGGACTAGATACCTCCTGAGGTCCCTTCCAACCCTGAGATTCTAGGATTCTATGAAAAGAGAGTGGAAAGTTAAAGGAGGGAGGAAGAGACCACAACATAGACAGGACAGTAGGAGAAAACGACTATTAAACAATCTAGAAGAAGGCAACTGAGGGGGCACTGGAGTGTGAGAGGCAGAGCAGAGCAAAGGAAAGAGGGAAAAGGAAAAAGAACAATTCGTTTTACTACATTTTTACTAGAGTCGGACAATATTTTTTTTGGCAAAAAACCCAAACCCCAAACCCAAACCCGTGCACATTTTTATTTGAGTTGAAATTTTGGGCTGGGGGGTATGAAAACCAAAAAATGTTTGGGGAAAAGGGTTCCTTTTTGGTACAAATGCTCAGTTTTTGATTTCCAAAGGCAATATTTTTTACCCAAAACCGATTTGTTTATGTTCTTTTACCAGACATGATTTTTGAAAACTACATTTTTATCAAAAATGTTTTGATCAAATGGAAAACGTTTCAGGTTGGGATTGTCGTTGAGAGGAAGAAAACAAAACATTCTAATGGGAAACTAAAACCCCCCAACGTCTCCTGCAAACCATAATTGCCTTTTATTCACCAGCTCTCGTATTTCCGGAGTGGGAACGGGTAGGTGCAACGTGATGCAAGATTTAACCACATTGCAAAGGGCTGGGGCCAGCAGTGTGCCCAGGCCGGGCTGGCTACGCTGCCCTCCTGCCTTGTCTCTGCTGTGTTGAATAAAACACTCCCTGTTGGTGTCCCCCCAACTCTTTTTCTCTGGTTGCACCTCTGTGGCTCACCCAGCTAACGAAGTACCTGGTGCAGGACCCCGTCCTAATCCCAGACCCCCCCAATTCCATCGTGGGCCAGCAGGACCTCATGGCAGTGGGGCTGGACAGAACCTGGCGTCCCCTCCCTCCTGCATCTAACCCCACTCTGTCCCTGCCTGAACCCAGCCGCACAGGAAAGGGTTGGACGGCAACCCTTGGGCCAGATCCTTCTCTGGTGTAAATCAGCGAATGGCTCCCGTGCAGCAGAGGATCCAGCCCCCCACTCAGCGCTCTGTGCAGGTGCTGAGGCTGGCGTGTCTCTGCCTGCCCCCTCAGCTCTCCCCACCCCATCTCTCCCAGAGCCACACGCTGGCCCAGCCGGGGACCTACCAGATGAAGTAGAGCAGGATGAGCAGCTGCACCCCTCTGTACATGATGCCGAGGTTGCGGTTCTTCACCACAAGGACTTTGGGGGTCTCGTAGTTCCAGAACTCCCAGAAGCATCGCCAGCAGCCCACGGCCCTGGGCCGCCTCGCCGGGGGCTCCTCCATCTGTGGAAGGGGGGGTCGTCTAGGGAAGCCTCTGGGCTGAGCCTGGGATCGCCACTCCCTCGCCTTATCCTGGGAGAACTGGGAGGGTCCCAGTCCTACAACAGCAGCAGCCTCCCTGTGTTGGTTTACACTGGGATCTCCACGGCTCCTCCCCGCGCTGAAGCTGCCGTTATACTGGTTTACACTGGGATCTCCTTTCTCTCCCTGTCTGCAGGTTCGTGCTCTGAGCCTCACTGAGCGGCACCACCCATCCCCTGCCGCTCTCTGACGAGGGCACCGTACGCGCTGGGCATCCTCCCCTCCAGACCAGGGCTGGACTAAAGGAATCAATCCCCTGGAGTGCCCGCAGCTGCCCATCTCTGCAGCACTGATGCCCCCTTGTGGCCAGAGTAGATAATCCTGCTCCACACACACGGGCTGCTCCATCATCCCCAATCCCGGGAGAGGAGTGGACGAAAACTGGCGTTGTGGGTACATGAGCCGGCCCAGGTAAGTAGAGGCCTGTCAGCCTGACATTGATTCCGGGAACGAGAATGGAGCCGCTGTGATGGGACTCGATTAATAAAGAATGAAAGGAGGGGGGTGTAATTAATGGCACTCAACATGGGCTAATGGAAAATAGAGCCTGTTCAACTAATTTGATAGCTTTTCTGATGACATGACGCATTTGGTTGGTAAAGGTAATAGGGCTGAGGTAAAACACTTCGACTTCGGTCAGGCATTTCATTCGGTACCAAAAGATATTTTGAGCCTGAAACTAGAACAACAGAAAATCAGTATGCTGCGCATTAAGTGGATTAAACACGGCCGGAATGAGAGGTTTCAAAATGTAATTTGAACTGGGGAATCACTGAGTGGGGATGTTTCTAGTGGGGTCCCACCGGGATTGGTTCTTGGCCCTGTGCTATTTCACATTTTTATCAGTGACCTGGAAGAAAGCATAAAATCATCAGTGAGAACGTTTGCAGATGACACAAAGACTAACGGAGTGGTAAATAATTTGGAGTAATCCCGTAGTGTAGACATACCCTAACGGAGTGGTAAATAATTTGGAGTAATCCCGTAGTGTAGACATACCCTAACGGAGCGGTAAATAATTCGGAGTAATCCCGTAGTGTAGACATACCCTAACGGAGCGGTAAATAATTCGGAGTAATCCCGTAGTGTAGACATACCCTAACGGAGTGGTAAATAATTCGGAGTAATCCCGTAGTGTAGACATACCCTAACGGAGTGGTAAATAATTCGGAGTAATCCCGTAGTGTAGACATACCCTAACGGAGCGCTAAACAACAAAGAGGTCAGGTCACTGATACTGAGCAATCTGGATCGCTTGGCATGCTGGGCAGAAGCAAACAGTATCTGTTTTAATACGGCCAAATGCAACATCATACTTCTAAGAACTAGGCAAGCAGAGCAAACTTCCAGACGGGGGACTTTAACTTGGGGGATAATCAGCTGCACAGTGCTCCCCTGTGGGCAAAAGGGCCAATGTGATCCCGGGGTGTATAAACGGGATCTGGGGTAGGAGCAGAAAGGTTCTGTGATCTCTGTATTTGACACTGGTGCGAACTGGAATCCCGTGTCCAGTGCTGGAGGCCACAATTCATGCCGAGAGTTGATCAAGTGGAGAGGGGTCAGAGCAGAGCCAGAAGAATGAGCAAGGGCTTGGAAAACCTGCCTTCTAGTGACAGACTCGAGGAGCTCAATCTATTGGCTTGTCAAAGAGAAGTTTAAGGGGTGATTTGATCACCGTCCAGCAGTACCTACATGGGGGGCAGAATTCGACACCGGAGGGCCCTTCACTCTTGCAGGCAAAGGTAGAACAAGCTCCAATGGCTGGAAGTTGCAGCTAGAGAAATTCAGGCTAGAAATAAGGCCTGGTTTTGTAACGGCGAGGAGGGTAATTAACCTAAATCAGGGTGGAGTCTCCATCACTGGCCAGTTTGAAATGAAATCGGCTTTTTTTAAACATCTGCTCTAGCGCAAGCTGGAATAGATTGAGGGCAGGGCTCGGGCCGGTGCGATGCAGCCGCTCAGACCAGATGGCTACAATAGTCCCTGTTGCCTTGGACTCTCTCCGGCCCTTGGGGTCAGGAGTGTTTCCCCTTCAGCGCTTGCTCTCTAGGGGGATTGCAGGGGGCACTTGGCAGCACTCCAGGCCAGGGGCGCCGCGAGTGGCATTTGCCCTGGGAGTTTTCAGGGCTCTAGGGCTTAACAGGCCCGGCGAGGGGGTTACACGTCTCTACAAAGCTTTAGTTTGTGTTGGGGCTTTCACACAACCTGCCCCACAAAACCTTCCCCGAGCGGGATAATAAATGGAATGCTAGTGCGATGCATGTAAAGGGTTAATGTCATGTAAAGGGTTAATGTCCCAGTGGTAACAGCTCATGGCCCAGAGCAGTGGGCCCCAAACTTTTTACTTCGTGCCCCCCCCCCCCGGAGTCAGGAGCGGGGCTGCGGCTCTGGGAGGGGGGGACACAGTCAGAGGTAAGGGGCCTGAGGCCACAGCTGGGAGCGGGGGGTGGGGGCTGGGCCAGGAGCACAGCGGAGGCCAGGGGCCAAGGTTGGCAGCCGGGGTTCCAAGCATGGGCCAGCAGCTAGGACCTGGGTGCAGGACCAGCAACAGAGCCCCTAGCCACAGCCCCCTGAACATTCCTCTGTGCCCCCCCTAGGGGCGTGCCCCACAGTTTGGGGACCTCTGGCCTAGAGGATTACAGGGCCCTTGGCCTGGCTCTCGGTCTCATGCGCACACCTGCTCCTCCCGCATCTTATTGATAGTTGCACGTATGTCTGTGGTACTGTGGAGGTACCGAGCACAGCATCACATCTCAGCAACTTCTATGGCCCCAGCAGCTAGGGGGTCTCCACACGCTTCCCCATCCTGAGCACCAACTCCGCAGCACTTTGCCGCAGTTCCCAGCCAATGGGAGCTGCGGGGGCGGTGCCTACAGACAGGGGCAGCATGCAGAGCCCACCCCCACGGGCCATAGGGACATGCCAGCTGCTTCTGGGAGCAGTGTGGGGCTGGGGCAGGCAGGGAGCCTGCCTTAGCCCCGCTGCATGGCTGACCGGGAGCTGCCTGATTTAAGCACCACCCGGCTGGAGCCCGCACCCTGAACCCCCTCCCGCACCCCAATCCCCTGCCCCAGCCCTGAGCCCCCTCCAGCATCCAAACTCCCTCCCGTAGCTTGCACCCCACACCCCCTCCTGTACCCCAACCCCTGCCCCAGGCTTAGCCCAGAGCCCCTTCCACACTCTGAACCCCTCAGCCCCAGTCCAGAGCCCACATCCCTTCCCATACCCCAACCCCCTGCCCAGCCCGGTGAAAGTGAGTGAGGGTGGGGGAGAGCAAGCGACGCAGGGAGGGGGGATGGAGTGAGGCGGGGGCTCGGAGAAGAGGTGGGGCCTCAGGGAAGGGGCGGGACAGGGGCTGGGCAGGATTTGTGTAATTAGACAGTTGGCAACCCTATCAGCACCACGGTATTTACTGTAGTTATCTTCACATGCCCCCTGTGCGGCAGGGCAGGGCTGTTAGCCCCTTGGTACAGATGGAAGCTGAGGCACAAAGGCCCAAATTCACAAAGGTATTTAGGCACCAACATCCTTTGATTTCATTGGAAGTTCGGAGCCTAAATCCCCCAAGGGTCTGGGACAGGGAGACACACCCAAGGTCACAAAGTGAGTCTGTAGCAGAGCTGGGAATTGAAACCAGGTCTTTGGAGTCTCATGCTGGCACCCTGACCCCTGGATTTAGGGTTTAGTTCAGTTTTCACTTAAAGAAGGACCTCAGTGGCCAAAGAATACCCGGCAGCCTCCCCGGAAGAACAGCACTGATGCTCGGGAACTGAAGGAACCTGCCGAGCACAGACAAGTAAATCCTCGCCAGTCGCGTTACAATTCATGTGCGAAGGGCCCTGCCTCAGAACCGCCTGGGCCCCAGAGAGCTCAGTTCAGCCCTGGCTCTCAACACTGGCCTTCGCGGAGCGTGGCTAGATCTGGTGCAGCAGGGAGTTCTTGACACGACAATATTAGGCATTAATGGGCATTTCCCCCATGTTGATTCCTAAATGGAAGCCACCAAGGAAGAAACCGGAAACTTTAATCTGGGCATGGAAAGAATTCTGCCGTCTCAGTGGGGCTCTGGGGCATGCGGACAGCAGTAACTGGCCTCCTGCCCTCTCTCTTCACACGCCTGCTTAGGAACAAGTGGGAAAGGAGATCTCAGGTCTGGCTGGGTGAGGGTTAGGGAGAGGTGCTGAGGGACAGCGAGGGTGGCCGGGTGTGATTTGGCTGCAGCGCTGGCTCTACCATTTTTGCCGCCCCAAGCAAAAAAACAAAGCTGCCCGAACTGCCGATGGAAAAAAAAAGCCAAAAGAAGCCACTCGGACGGTGCCGCCTCAAGGACGGACGGATGCCGCCCCTTAGCATGTGCCGCCCCAGGCACGTGCTTCCTCCGCCGGTGCCTGGAGCCGGCCCTGGTTGGCTGGGTGTGGACGATGTATGATGAATGGAACAGACTGGGGTCTGGCTAAGTGCGTCTGCCTGGTCTAGACATGGAGCCCCAGGACTTTTCTGTCGTCGGCCCCATATCCCTGAAAGCGCCATTGGCAGATCTGATTAGCCACTGCAGCGGTTTTGTTTGTTTTGCTCTTTTTTGACCATGTGACTAGCTGGGAACATGTCATCAGGCTGTGACCTCACGCACGCTCCTGCCAGGCATAGCAATGTCGGCTGGAAGGGACCGCGCGAGGTCGTCTAGCCCAGTCCCCTGCACTGAGGCAGGACTAAGAATTATCTAGACCATCCCTGACAGTGCTTAACCACCCTGACAGGCAGATTTTCCTAAGGTCCAACTCAACTGCCCTTGCTGCAATTTAACCCCATTGCTTCTTGTCCTACCCTCAGTGGATGAGAACAATTGATCACCTCCTCTTGATAACAACCTTTGCTGTATTTGAAGACTGTTCTCACGGCCCCCCTCAGTCTTCTCTTCTCCAGACTAAACAATGACAGGTTTTTCAATCTGTCAGGGTAGGTCGTGTTTCCTAGACCTTTCAACATTTTTGTTGCTCTTCTCCCGAAGTGCAGTGCCCAGAACTCGACACCATATGCCAGTTGAGGCCTTGTCTGTGCTGAGTAGAATAGTAGATTTCAGAGTAGCAGCCGTGTTAGTCTGTATCCGCAAATGCATCCGAAGAAGTGGGCTGTAGTCCACGAAAGCTTATGCTCTAATAAATTTGTTAGTCTCTAAGGTGCCACAAGTCCTCCTGTTCTTCTTTTTGTAGAATAGTAGAATTACTTGTGTCTTGCCTACAACACTCCTACTAATATATTCCAGAATGATGTTCACTTGTTTTGCAACATTACATTGTTGACTCATATTTAGCTTGTGATCCACTACGACCCCCCGATCCTTTTCTGCAGGACTCCTTCCTAGGCCGTCAGGTCCCATTTTGTATTTGTACACTTGATTGTTCCTTCCTAAGTGGAGCACTTTGCATTTGTCCGTATTGAATTTCATCCTGTTTATTTCAGACCATTTCTCCAGTTTGTCCAGATCATTTTGGATTCTAATCCTGTCCTCCAAAGTGCTTGCAACCCCGCCCGGCTTGGCAGCCCCTCAAATTTCATCCGGGTACTTCTCTACGCCATTGTCCAAATCACTGACGAAGCTATTGAATAGAGCCAGGCTCAAGATGGCCCCACTCAACAGGCCCTTCCAGCTGCATTGTGAACCATTGAGAACTATTCTCCGAGTACGGTTTTCCAACCAGTTGTGCACCAACCTTATAGTCAGTTCATTTGGCTCTAGTTCCCTATTTTGCTTATGAGAAGGTCACGGGAGACAGTATCAAAAGCCGTCCTCATCTACTAGTGGGGGCATCACCACCATGGTCGCTGAGCCTCTTAGCTTCACCACCCCGCTGGGAGGCAGGGCAGTGTAAAGGCTGCTATCTTGGCCAACAGCCACGGTTGAACCAGTGATCTCGTGAGCTGAAAGTCTCAGAGCCAGGCTCTGGCATCAGACTCCCATCCCCTGTGGTCCGGGCACAGAGGGGAACATGACACACATGCGTCCCTGGGGAAAGCAGCAGCATCCCCATCTGACAGCTACACCCACGGGGAGTTTAAGTGCCTTTCAGGGAGACAGTGCTGTCTAGTGAGTAGGGTACTGGCCTGAGACACAGGAGATGTGGGTTCTATTGCCCAGGTCTGCCACTGATTTGCTGGTGAACTTGGGCATGTCACTTCCCCACCCTGTGCCTCAGTTTCCCCATCTGTAAAATGGAGGTAATGCTACTGACCGCCCTTTGTAGACCCTTTTGAGCTCCAGGGTTGAAAGGGGCTATAGAAGAGCATGGCGGTGGCATTATTCCAAAGGGGATACGTAGAAAGTCTTGGACAAAAACAAGAATTGAGCCCAGATCCTCTGACTTCCAGGGTTTGGGACACAGGTCTCTGCCTCCAAGCGGTGAGATCTGAGGGTGCATTCCAGGATGAGCAGGGAGGGGACGCACTTTGGTGAAGCCAGGCGGCATGGGGATCAATGGGGCTGTGGGTGGTGGTGGCAGCAGGGGGACACCTCATTCACGATTGACAAAGTCCTTTAAAGGGGAAACATAAGCTGCCCCCCTGCTGGCCATAGGGCGGGGAGGGAGTCCCGCAGGGCTCACAGAGGGTCTCACACTCCCACTTCTCAGGGAATTGCTCCCGCTTCCATGCACCTGCCTGGCCAGGGGTAGGGTTACCATACGTCCTCTTTTTCACGGACATGTCCGGCTTTTTGGCACTCAAACCCCCGTCTGGGGGGTATTGCCAAAAAGCCGAACATGTCCGGGAAAATGGCGGCTCTGCTCCTCCCCTGACTCTTCGGCTCTGTTTAAGAGCCGAGCTGCCCAAGTGCTATGGGCTTCAGGCAGCCCCCTTGCCTCCGGACCCCAGCCGCCGGCTGGGCACTTCCCTCCCGGGCTCCGGCGGCCGCTAGGGAAGCACCGGCCGGGGGCGCAGGGTCTGGGGGCTGCCCGGCAAACCGTGAAGCCGGTAGCGCTCGGGCAGCCCTTTCCGCGTGGCTGGGAGTGGGAGGGAGGAGGGGGCGGAGTTAGGGCGGGGAAGGGGCGGAGTTGGGGCACGGCTGGGGGTGGGGAAATGGGCGGGGCCAGGGCCCGTGGAGGGTCCTCTTTTTTTATTTGTTAGACATGGTAACCCTAGCCAGGGGAGAGACGTCGCCAGGCACTGAGCAGCCAGTCCAGTCGTCCTCTGGCAGGGGCAAAATCCCCCTTTCCGCCACTCTTCGCTCCCACCTGGGATTCTTCCCCCAGCATCTAAGCCCCACAGGGATTCCCCCAGTCTCTCCCCCATGGGAAGTTCCACCCCTCTATCCTCTCCCATGGGAACCCCCCTTCAGTTCCTCCCGGGGGATTTCCCACTCTCTTTGCTAACACTCCCCACCTCGGGATTTCCCACCTGTGACATTGCACTCCATATGTTTTATGAAAATATGCTTATGAGTGTGAATATAATGTAACTGGAATATGCTTTATGCAAAAGGTCTCTTGTATGGCATCCTTGCAAAGCTAATAATCTACTGAGTGTGGTCATCCTATTTGTATGAATGGATCATTCTTGGATCTGTAACTAGAAATATGAAATATAACTCTGAAGTCCTATTGTAATTATGCAAAGTGTGGGCCATGTGGCTTGGAATCTTGATGGCTCCCATTGACCAGGACAATGGTTGTAAATGGCTCTGTTTATTTGCAGGCCTTCCTGTGAGTCAGGCCAGGAAGAATGAAGGCTGGGGTCTCACAGGACATGTGACCATGTCACCTGGTACTGGAATCCATCTTAAACCTGGTGCTTTTCCATTTAGAAGGAGGGTGGGGACCCAGAGAAACAAAAGATTCCAGCCTTGTGCCAAAGCTATAAAAGGGGGTGGAACAGAACAAAGGGGGCTGCCAGTCATGAGAAATCCCCTAGCTATCACCTGAGCTGGAACTAACAAGGGCTGTACCGGGGAAAGGATTGGGCCCAGACTGGAAGGAGTCCAGTCTATGAAGGAAGCTTATTGGAACATCTCTGAGGGTGAGATTTTATCTGTAATCAGTTTCTTAATGTATTGGGCTTAGACTTGCGAGTTTTGTTTTATTTTGCTTGGTAACTTTGTTCTGTCTGTTATTACTCAAAACGACTTAAATCCTACCTTTTATACTTAATAAAATCACTTTTATTTATTAATTAACCCACAGTAAGTGATTAATACATGGGGAAGCAAACAGCTGTGCATTTCTCTCTATCAGTGTTATAGAGGGTGGACAATTTATGAATTTACCCTGTATAAGCTTTATACAGAGTAAAACGGATTATTTGGGGTTTGGATCCCACTGGGAGCTGGGTGTTGGAGAAGATAGCCTGCTGAGCAGGTTTTGGTTAAAGTCTGCAGGTTTGGGGGCATGGACCAGACCTCGGTCTGTGTTGCAGCAGGCTGGAATGTCTGGCTCAACAAGGCAGGGTTCTGGAGGCTCCAACTGGCAGAGAAACCCCCTCAGTTAGAAGAAGAACAGGAGTACTTGTGGCCCCTCAGTTAGGTCCCTCTTGCAGGGGCATGGAGGCCAGAGCCCTGTTGGGAGGCCAGGACCCCATCTGGGCTCCCCTCCATTTTCCCAGCCAGCTCCAAACTGAGACTCTCCCTCCAGCCATCTCACTCAGCTTCCCCCTCGCTCCTCCCCCAGCCTTTGTCCATTTCCCAGGCAGAGGTGTCACCTGGCCTCCAACGCCCCTCCTGGTTCTCATGTTACGTAATAATATAATGAATGGAGATATCCCATCTCCTAGAACTGGAAGAGACCTTCATTGAGTCCAGCCCCCTGCCTTCACTAGCAGGACCAAGTACTTATTTTGCCCCAGATCCCCAAGTGGCCCCCTCAAGGACTGAACTCACAACCCTGGGTTTAGCAGGCCAATGCTCAAACCACTGAGTTATTCCTCCCCCCTGCTCAAGTATCTTCCCTCAAGGAAAGTCTCCCATCCCCCAATGCAGACAGTCCCCTGCAGCCTTCCCAGGTCAATACTCCCCACTCAGTATTCAAAGAAAACATTAAGAACAATCCCACTTCGTCACAACCTTATATACACCTCAGCTGTAATTCCTTTCTCTCTCATCCAAAGGGCAGCACAGCTGGCTGGTCTGGGGGTATCCTCCTCTTGGGGTGAGGCCAGTGTTTGGGGGCGTAGGGTAAGAGCTTGGCTCGGTGCACAGGGGCGGATCACCTGGAAGGGTTTACCAGCATGGATCAGAGTCAGCAGAGAAAAGAAGGGACTCGGGAGCAGGGCAGGATTTGAGGAAACCTGTTTATTGATCCTCTTAGATCATCATGCTCCTGCATTTACAAAGCAAAGCGCCCTAGTGTGCAATACAATCACAGACTGAGTCCATCAATCACAGTTCCGAAAACGCAAATACTGTCTTGTGACAAAGAAGACCGAAATCCTTACAGCCAATGCCAGAGTCTAATCAGACCGGTTCCTTTTGTTCTTCACAGGCCACTACCCCCCGTGGTCATTACAGCCTTAGCCCCCCCCCAATGGGACATCACAGGACGCAGCGGCACCGCCCGTAAAGAGGCGGAGCAGGGCGTTGTGCTGCATCTTCTTGTGATGTTGGCATCCAAGCGTCACCCCTGAATTCAATCGGTGACAAAGGGAGTGGCCAGCGCGCTCTTCCGCTAGGGTTAGCGCTGCCGGGGAACCACACCAACACCTCTAGCAAGGAAACAACTCGCTACACACATGGCATGACAGACACGTTGGGGGGGGGGTGTCATTCACATGGAGGAGCTAACTGAGCAAACCTCCTACAGGAGAGATTTCCACCGTGGCAGGGAGCCCGGCCCCACTGTGCCCCCTGGAAGGAACAGAGTCGCTCTGCAGGGCCCAGGTCAGCCACATGGCCTGGCACAGCGGGACCATGCTGCACTGGAAGGTGATGCACGGATGGATGAGGAGCTGGTGAGCGCGTGCACAACGGGGTGCGAGTGCTGTGGGCAACCCAGCGTCAACATGATGCTCCCTGAGACCCTCTCCGAGTCCTCTGCGTCACCCCCCACCCCAGCCAGTGCTGGAGCCGGACACAGCTTCACATCCGAGAGTCCAAAGCCGGCGTAGGATGTCTGGGACGCTACGGTCTAGCTAGGAAAAGAGGAAGGGAGCAGGACAGTCAGGAAGGCCGGGCCCCAGGGCTCAGCCCCCCCGCAGACGCAGGTGCAGGAAGATGGTGCAATGGGGTGCGATGTTGTAATCTCCCAGCTTGTGGCCGTCCTCGAGCGGTTTCCCCTCAAAGCTGAGCCAGAACTGCTCGGCCTGGATGCTCTCCTGCTGCTGGACCCGCCCCTTGAACTGGGTGACCCCGTCGGAGGGGAGGACAGTGTAGGTGCCGGTCCTGCCCTTGTCGTTCTTCACGAAGATGGTGATGGGCTCCTCGCTCTTTACCACCAGCAGGATGATGTCGCCGGGCTTGAGCTGGTAGTCGGAGAGCCGGGAGCCATCGCGCAGCTCCACGTAGGCCCCGTTCTGGCAGGCCAGCTTCTGCTGGTACGGGGACACCCCCGTCTTCTTGGCAATCTGGGCCTTGAACGCCGAGACGGTCGTCGTGCTGGTGACCTCCAAGCGGTGCGTCTCGCCACTCAGCAGCTTCACGCTGAGCCACAGGGCCTGGGGAGGAGAGGGCCCAGAGTGGTCAGAACCCAGGGGGAGCCCACAGGGACTCAGACCCCCAGGAGGGAAGCAGGTTGGGCTTGTTACAGTCCCCATACCCTGTCACGCCCCTATACACCCTCCAGTGCCTGGCACGGGGTGCAGTCGTTACCCCAGTGCAAGATGCAGGGAAATGCGTCCCTGTCAGCACAGCAATGTTCACACCCACCGCACCAGCATCCATGCCAGCGCACGGGGGGTCTGTGAACGCTCACCAGATCCCTTTCCCTGGGCTGAAAGGGGACCCAAACCCAGCCCCCCCAAAGGGCAGTGGCGGGATGAGGCTGTGCTGACCCCTTGGAGCCCAGTCCTGGCTGGGGTGCAGTAGCCAGCGCTCAGGGGCTGCCCCAGGGGCGAGGGGCGCTCAGCTCAGGGGGCTCCCCAAGGGCTGTGGGGTCACTGACCAAGGGGCAGCTTAGCGGAGACGGGGCTGGGAGGGGGCGGTAAATACAGGCGGCAGCCGCCTTTCCTGTGCCAAGGGACCCCGGGAAGTGCCGATCGGTCCCTTCCCCTGCTACCGGCTCGGCGCGGGGCATGCAGCCGGCAGCGGGGGGCTGTACCCGGCCCCGCGCTCGGAGTCCCCCCAAAATCCGGGAGGGGGTGGGGCCCCAGCGGACAGGTGATCCCGGGGGGCTCCGGTCCCGAGCTGCCGCGCTGCCCTCCCGCGGAGCCCGGAACTTGCAGAGCGATCCCCGGCCCCGGCCCCGACCCCGGGACGCCCCTCACCATGTCTGCAGCCTGCCGGGGTCTCCCTGGTTCCGAATCCGCCGCGTCCCGAGTTCGAGTCCGACCCGCTCTGCCCGGCTCCGCCGCCCGCTCCTCATTTATAGCCCGGCCGCCAGCGCGTCACCCGGGGCCGCCCCGCACCGAGAATCAAAACCAGCCTCGGCCGCTGAGTTTCGGTTTCCTTCTCCCGCCCCCCCCGTTCCTCCTCCGCCGCCGCTGCCGCCGGGAAACGAAACTGGGAAGCGATGGGGCAAGGGACCCGGACCCAGCCCCACACGTCACCCCGGGGAAGCGAACCCAGCCCCGGGCTGTCACAGGGGGACCAGGGACCCACACCCGCCATTGGGCCAGGGCCATAAACGGAGCCCTTTGGGGCGTGATC